CCGCCTCCCTACGGCGCCCGCTATGGCCGACGCCAAGAAGACCGACGCGCCGGCGACCGCGGCCCCGGAGCCGCCCGAGAAGCCGCTCCCCGGCGACTGCTGCGGCAGCGGCTGCGTCCGCTGCGTCTGGGACATCTACTACGACGAGCTCCAGGACTACAAGAAGGCACTCGCCGCCCACGCGTCCGCCGCCGATCCCAGCGGCGACAAGGCCTCCGCCGACGAGAAGAAGATCAAATCATGAGACCCCAGGATTCAGGACCCGTATGTGTATGCTTTGACCTCTCCTGTTCACAAATTGGATTCTTGGTCGTGTAAGATATGGTGGCATTACTCATAGCATTACAGCTAAACATCCATTGTATTCTCACCGTGTATGCTGCAATTTGTACTTACTGCTCATCATTCTTTGTGTGACCAAAGATGCCCCTGGTTATGAATACAAGTTCCTTTTTGTGCAGCAGTTCAATTCATGTTTGCACATACTTGCTGCTAAAATTGTTCAAATTTGTGTCGCCAAAGATGCTCCTGGTTATCAATAGAAGTTCCTTTTTTTGTGCAACACTTCAATTCATGTTGCAGATACTGCTGAAATTGGCCAAATTTGGTGCGACAAAAAATTATTTCACCATAGTAAAACTCTAGCCAAGAAGCCCCAACCAATCACCAATGCTATTAGAATCAGGAGAGATTAGCGAGTTTGTTACATCATTTGTTCTCATGACCGAAAGCGACGGTACATACTACAGCGTGTTACTTATTCATGCATTGACATAGAACCTATTGATCATTGTCCGAACCACCAAAGGAATCCTCACAGTGTGTGTGCCGTCCTCCCATGTCAGGCTGCCGAAGGTGTACCGCCCCTGAACCTTCAGTTTGGCCTGGAATGTCACCTTGAATGTTAACCTGTTGACTGTCGAGTTGAAGGTCAGAAGCGAGGGGTTCACGGTGACGTTCACCCCTGGAGGTGCTTCCACATGGGCTCTGTACTTGGACGCGACCGGGCCAACATTGGTGACCGTTCTCGACACCGACAGCTTGCCCCTCAGTTCAGGAATGGTGATGGATGGGACGTTCAGGTTCAGCTGCGATTTTGGCGAATGTTGACAGGGTGTGTGCTGCTGAACCATGGAGGCGATGGCTGAGTTGTTGTAGCCCATGGAGCAAAGGAAGCGCACGTAATCAGATGGTCTCATGTCGTATACGAGACCAGGGTGTGCAGCCCTATTTGGATCCACATGGCCACCTCCATAGTCGAAGGGATTCGCCTGCTTGTAGGGCGCTGCTTCAGATACCATCTCGAATTCATACTCGTCATGGACATTGGCTACAAAGGTGTAGGCCTGTTAGTTAGGGGGAGAGTATGTGACAAGGTGAAGCATATGACCATTACCTGTTGTGACCATTGCCGATTTTACTGCAGCCGGGCTCCAATTAGGATGCATTGATTTGAGAAGAGCGGCCACGCCTGAAATGTGCGGGCAGGACATTGAAGTTCCAGAATCAATCTTGAAATTCACAGATCCCATGGCCGATGATAAGGCTACGGAAGGTGACCATGAAGCCAAAATGTTTACACCCGGGGCAGTTATGTCTGGCTGCAGAAGTTAGATGGCAAGAGAAGAAGCATGTTTATTTGGAGTTTAAGCTTAGTAGTATGCATTAAGGACAAACTTGGGTGGTCAGCTGAGGGATGTAATTACCTTCAGAATTGATGGAGTCAGAGAGCTTGGGCCCCTAGATGAGAAGTATGCAACTTCAGGGCCTATCAATTCTCCAAGAATTGTTTTTGCGGAGCCAAACTGAACCGTTGGGTTTCTGTTTATGTAGAAAAACAAATCTCAACATGGTTCAACAGACAGTATACCATCATAAATTCAGTTCTTTCACAACTACGGAATCATATACAATACTGTTTTATGTACCTCGTGCTAGTAGTATATGCAAGTATGGCTGTTCCAACTTGATAGTCTACTTGAATAAGGGGAATATCAAAAGCAGATGCTATATCTTTGGTTAAAAACTGCGCAAAGATGACTCCTACACCACGGGCCTTTTTTACGGTCTCTACTGCCACCTGAGATGCTCGCTGTCCTCGTGTTTGGAAGCAGAGCACCACATTTCCTTTTACTAGAGTAGCATTCAAAGATCCTGCAGTGCAACTTCTGCAGAGGCATTAGCCAAAAGGGGAGTGTAGATTTTTACGACCAATAAAGACAGAACAAGGATGACGAAGCTTTTACCTTGCATCAGTATCATCAGCATTATCAGATGAAACATCTTCAGCATATACTATACGCATGCTTGTCGCAGCATGCTTCCCAGAATACATTGTTTGGCCCTGCAACCACGGTACATGAGAATGCCAGACGCAGACAGGGATATATCAACAGTTTGCAACCATAAGTTCAAATCAATAATTCAGATGAAACTCTTACCACATAAGTACTATTGTTGCCCAGGGTGATCTTTGCGAGGAAAGTCCGATCAATGGTGCCCGCAGCAACGGTTAGAACCCACGGTGCAGAGTTGATCACCGTCTCTGAATAAGGACCGGAGTTCCCTGCAGAACAGACCACAGTGATCCCTCTCACGACGGCGTGGAAGGATCCAATCGCCAGGACATCATCAACATAAGCAGGGAGAGGTGGTGCTTGGCCGAGAGACACCGAGAGCACATCGACACCGTCGTGTATGGCAGCGTCGAAGGCAGCAAGGATATCTGCAGAGGTACAATCCCCAGTAGCCCAGCACACCTTGTAAACAGCCAACCTAGCCCTCGGCGCCCCTCCCCTCGCCACACCACTGGCAAGCCCCCGGAAGTTGGCGTCGGGCACTAGAGCGCCGGCAGCAGTGGATGCAGTGTGCGTCCCATGCCCGACGGCGTCCCTCGCCGACATGTACTCGTGGATGTCAGTCGTGTTCATCTTCCCGTACTCGGCTTGGTACCCTTTGACGAACCACTTCGCGCCTATTATTTTCCTATCCTATCATGAATCTGAAGTCACCACCAGGATGGTACATTCTCACAACCAAATGGCAAGCAAACTGAAAGGAAAGAGCAGGCATGCTAACCTGTTGCAGTTGGAAGCATTGAACCTTTCTCCGGCGACGCATTGCCCTTTCCACCGCCGCGGAACCTCGCCGATGCCGTCGTCCCTAAAGCTGGCCGACTCCGGCCATATCCCTGAAAAGTTAAGATCCCAAGAAAACCTTACTCGCCACATTGCAGTGCCAGTTGCAATCCTGATTTCTGCTATACAACTGAACAAATGCAATCTCACCTGTGTCTAGCACACCGATGATGGAGTCCTCCCCGAACCTGCTGCGGGAGAGGATTCCGCTCCCGCCGGACGGCGACGGGTTCACCCGCATGAAGTCCCAGCTCCTGGTGGTGTGCAGGTCAAGCACCCGGTTCCGAACCACCCGCACGACCCCAGGCCAATCTTTTTTTATTTAACCAGAGCAAAAGGAGAAATAGTTAGCAGAGAAGAAGGAGCAATTAATTTGTTATTATGAACAACGGCAAGATGTGCAGGCGGCCCGGACGCTCACCGGAGAGCTGCGCCGCCTGCGCGTTGGTGAGCACGGCGGCGAAGCCGGAGAAGCCGTGCCTGTAGCTGTAGAGGATGGCGTCCTCGGCCGCCTGTTTGCTGCGAAATCACAAGGCCACACACACACAGCTCTTGAGTCTTTGAGGCGTTCTCCAAAGTAAGAAGAGGAAGAAGAAGACTCGTCTCTAACCTGCCGAGGACGGCGGCGAGCATGCCGTGGTGCGAGTCCCGGACCAGGTCCGGGTGCAGCTCCGGGTGCCTCTCCCCCATGTACACAATGTGCACCTGCAGATCGGCAGGCCAAGAAATAAGCAAACACGCAACCATGGCAAGCTATGCGCCGCCACCAAACACCATGGTGAAGCTTGAACGGACGGCTCACATTGGCGCAGGAGCAGAGGCCGAGGCCGAGGCCGAGCAGCAGGAGGAGGAAGACGACGACGACGACGACGACGACGGGGGGCTTGTCAGCCATGGCCGCCGCAAAGGTAGCTCGAGAGGGAGCGCGAGGCCGGCCGGCGCCGGGAAAAATGGAGGGCTGCGGCGGAGTGGAGTGGTTTGAAAGGCGAGAGGAGGAACCGAGGCGAGAGAGAGGGGGAGGGGGGTTGGTGTCTTGGCGTGGCCGGCTTCTCTCTCGGGCAGGCTCCTGTCAGCGTTGGACCTGGACTCGATTCAAATCGCCTACCAGGAGTAGTAAATACAGTGCCCCGCAGCAGCCGGCCACTGTTGCGGTCGCCGGTGTGGATCCGCTTGCTTGTCTGTTTGTTTACTCTTTGTTCTTCCTCCTGACGCAGCGATGTGCTCCTCGGGCGGAGTTTTCTAATGGAGCCGAGGTGATCACTGTCGTGCTCCCACTCCCGTCCCACCCTCGCTCCCTGCTCTCTCCCCTGTCGACCCGTTTGCTGCCTGTGCCGGAGGTGTTGGCGTCCGGCCGAACGCGCCTCGGCCGTTGGGTGCTCCGCTCACTTGTTTTTTTAAGGATTTTTATCAGTTTTGCCATCGGTTGTACTGCACTACTCAGTTCTGCCACTAAATTTTTTTCATGAGATAAATACACTCACGGTCATTGTAGTTGCGACGAAAGCCCAATACGGTCACTGAACTTAGAAATACGGCTGTTACGGTCACTATATACGATGTGACGTGAATGTACGGTCACTGTTGGTCGTATGCGGTGAGTAGCCGCTCCTTTGACCACCTGTTGACCGCCACGTTCTCAGCTCCGATTAGGCCAATCTTGCGGCGAGGGGTTAAGTGTAAAATTGCCCCGCTCCTCTATCTCCCTGCTTGCTCCTCTCTCCCCGTCAAATCCCTAGTCCTGCTCCTCTCTCTCCCCGCTCCTCTCTCTCTCCGCTCTTCAATCCCTAGCCAGCACTGCCGCCGCCGCAAGATCTGCCCATGTCTGCCGCAAGCTCCTCTAGCGCCGCTGTCCGCCGCAGGGCAATGGCGCTGCCCCTGATCTCCTGCCCCAGCTGCAAGGAGAAGGTGCAGATGTATGTATCGACCACTGAGAAGCACGACGGGTGGGTCTTCTACAGATGCCGCAGCCATGGGGTTAGTTCTTCATTTCATTTTTGTATTTGTTGTGTTTGATTTTGATGGAAAGATGCAAGTTTTTGACCTCTGCTACCCCAATTTTTGGATAGGTTTCTTGTGATTTCTGGCGTTGGGAGTTGGAGTATGTTGAGTATCTTGTTGACAAACATTACCTCGTCGAAGATGCCGCCGTGGATGCTATTGGTGAGGTGGAGGAACGAAGGGAGCATCTGATTGCTGCACAGGAACTGGTGCAGATGAATGCACCCATCAGCAGGTCCAACCAGGCTGCAAAGAAGGAAGCAAGTTGTGGGATGAGCAGGCAGCAAGCAATTGCACTGATGATGTTAGGGAGGGAGGTGATGAAGCTGATGAAGATGTTGTTTGTTGCAGTGGTGGTGCTAGGTGCTGTTGCTGTTGGGTTGATGCTGAAGAAGTGAAGAATTGAAGTGGTGAAGATGTTTCTTTTGGGGATGTTGCTGCATTGATGCTGTGTTGAAGATGTTGAAGATGCTACTTTTGGGTTGTTGCTGTTGCAATGGTGTAGTAGTGGTTGGTTAGTAGATGATCTCTTAGTAGATTATCTGATCTAGTAGTGGTAGGTTAATTTGTGTTGAGGACATGTAATGGTGTGTAAGCCCAAGTGGATATCCTATGTTGAACCTGTCAATCTATCTATCTATCCTATGCTATGTCATGTGATGGTATTTTGCACTTCAGCTTTTATCATTTTATCCTAGTTATATTGATGTTGGAGTTTTCAGTAAAAATGATGCAATGATGTATGATATCAATCTATCTGCACTTAACAGTTGAATTGACTAGGAAACTGAGAATAAGTAATGGGCATCATGGATCAACATATTATTATCAGGCACGGTATCATATTACCATCCATCATCCATAGATAACCAAAAGAGAATACAGTTTTGAAGTACTTTCTTACAATCATCCATCATCCATACAGAACCAACATAGATTATTGCAGTACATAGCCTAAACAAAAGCAAGTTGGCGCCATTCATGATCATATGAATAACAAAGACAGTATGATCAGGAAGGTACCAAACACTTTTACTTTGGCAACCTACCTAAAGATATCAAACATTGATGATTTGACAGTCTTTCTTGGACATTCAGCTTCATTCTGGCTAGCTTTTCTTTTCGCAGCCAACCTTTTCTCATGTTCTCTCTGTGCAATTGCCATCATTCTCTCCTGTGCAGCAGCAAGCTTCTTATCTGCTTCTCTTTTAGCAGCAGCCAGTCTCTTCTCCTCTTCTTTTTGTGCAGCAACAAGTCTCTTCTCCTCTTCTTTTTGTGCAGCAGCAAGTCTCTTCTCCTCTTCTTTTTTTGCAGCAGCAAGTCTCTTCTCTTCTGCCTTCTGTGCAGCAGCAAATTTTTTTTGCTCTTCTCTCTTTGCAGCAGTTGCTTCCCTCTCTGCCCTCTTTTCTGCCTCCTTCTTCTCAGCAGCAGCTTTCCTCTTTGCTTCTTGCTTGGCTTTCCTCTCAGCAGCTATTGTTTTCTTTATCTCTTCAATAATTTTTCTTGTCTCAGCTTGAACCTTCTTGTTCAATTCTGCTTCTTCTTTCTTCTTGGCAGTTCTCTCCAATGTAGCCAACCTTCTTCTCTCTGCAAGCTCAGATTTCCTCTGTGCAACCTCATGTTTCCTTTTTGCTATCTCTTCAGCTCTCTTCAATTCCTCTTCTCTTCTAGATGCAAGTATTGCCTTCTTCCTCTCCTCTACTTCCCTATCTTTCTGATTCTTCATGGCCTCCAATTTCTGTGCCAACTCACCTGGCCTTATGGTGCTTGAACTAGCTTGGCTCCCTTGGCTTCCATTACTCTGGTTGAGCAGCACTTGGGCAGCAGTAAGGAAAGCAGAAGCATGTACTGGCCTTTGTTCCACAACCCTTGCTGTTGGCATCTATGAAGAATGTACATTTGATGAGAATAATAGGATATTCATGTACAAAGAATGTATATTTGATGAGGAGATCAGTAGTACCTGGGCAATCATGTTGTCAACCATAAGATCACCATATGGAGGAGCCACATTTGTAGGAGTCACATTGGCACCAACAACACCTTCATTTGGAGGAGTGACATTGACACCAGCAGTACCTTCATTTGGAGGAGGCACATTGACACCAGCATTACCTTCATTTGGAGGAGGCACATTTGAAGATGGTTGATCATTTGGTGGAGGCACATTAGGTGGTGGCAGTCCAGCCTTCAAGGTCTTGCACCCCTTCCTGTTGTGATCTGCATCACCACAATAAAAACAATGCATAATGACACCATCCCTTGTGATTTTATTCCCTCCCCTTCTATGATCAACCTCTCCAGGTGCCTGTCTCCTTGTAGTACATGGCCTTCTAACATGCTTCTGGTACAATGGTGGCATTATTGGAGGCCCATGTAAGTCTTCCCATTCACTCCTATCTCTACAAGGATAGATAATATTGCCATATGCTTTCTTGAACATATGTTTTGAGTAGCAATGATCAACCATGTTCAAAGGATCAACTCTATCATTCCTGCAGCAGGCTACCACATGAGAGCATGGAATGCCTGCTTTCTGCATTCTTCTACATGTGCAGGTTTTCTTGTGCATGTCCACTATGTAATCCATTCCTCTATCACCTGCTAGGAATAAGCCATCTCCTGATCCCTCCACATAGCATGTGTTTGCAAATTCTGTTACCTTCTCAACCTTCTTCCTGATCTTTGGACATACATCTCCTTGCCATTTATCTGACTCCAGCTGTTTGTTGTAATGCCTTGTCATAAGTTGCCTGTAAATCCTGTCAACCATGCTAAGTATTGGTAGTTCCCTTGCTTCCAGGATATACCTGCATTTAACAGCAAACCATGGTAAGTATTGGTAATTCACTACATTGAAAAGCATTTTGGCAAACTTCACAAATGTACCTGTTGAAAACTTCACAAATGTTGTTAAGCAGAATATCACATTTTGGCAAGTCACTTTGAAAAGCCTTAACCCAAGTTTGTGGTTCTAGCTCATGCAGCCATTTGTATGCCTCAACATTAAGAACCTTCATCTCCTCCATGCCCTGTTCATACAACTGCATTGTATTGCTCCTAGCTATCTTCCAGAGTTGATTCTTCAAGATGTCACCTTTGAAATGTTGTTGAAAGTTTTGCCACATGTACCTAACACAATATCGGTGTTCTGACTCAGGGAACAGTTCTTCAACTGCATTGATGAGCCCCTACAATTGCAAAGCAACATAACCATTCAGAAGCTATTCACAACCATTCACATAGTAATGACACATAAACTTTGAAAAAGAAAGATGGTACTTACCTTTTGTTTGTCTGACATGATAGTCCAAGGTTTAGTGTTTATGATGCCTAGGTCCCTTTTGAGTGTGTCAAGAAACCATGACCAGTTAGGGGTGTCCTCAACTTCAACCACAGCAATGGCAATTGGAAATATGCAGTTATTTGGATCTACCCCAACAGCTGCAAGCAGTTGTCCTCTGTATCTAGTTTTAATGTGGCAACCATCTAGGAAGATGACTGGTCTACAACCCTCCAGAAATCCTCTCTTGCAAGCATCTAGACACATGTACAACTTGCTGAACCTAGCATTTTCATCTAATGAAACATAGAAGGATAAGCCAGGGTTGCTTCTCCTAACCTCATTAGCATAATTCAATAGCAGCTTGTACTGCCCTTCCTCATCACCATAAATAATTTTCATAGCCATTCTCCTTGCTCTTTGAAGTTTCATCCTAGTGGGTGTCATATGCCATTCTTTCTGAACAACCCTTGAGAAATTCATCAAGTTCATATCTTGATCAGCCCTAAAGCTCTCTAGGTATTTCATTGCTAGGAATCTTGATGTGAAAGCCCTAATCTTCCACTTCTTGCTGCATGTGTGCTCATGCACATATCTCTTCACCATGAAAGCCTTAGTTCTGCTATCATATGATGCCCACAAGTACCATGTGCAGTCTTCATCACATTTTGCTTTCACTCTTTTCCTATCATTCACAGGAGGCTTGATATCAACTCTGTTCTGGCAGGAGTACTCTTTAATTGCTTTCCTTGGAAGCTCCACGCTCTCAAAAACCTGCCCTACATGGAATTTTGGCCTATGAAGATCCTCTGGTCTGAAAGTTTTGAACTTTAAATGCATTTCCTCATCATCAGAATCAGGTGCCCACAAATCTTCACCTTCAGACAAGTCTTCATCTGAATTGTACTGCTGCTTGCTTTTGTCTTCATCTATAGGTTTCACATGCTTGACTTGCTCCTTTGAATTGTTCTTATGCTTCTGTTCTGGTTCATCCTCATCAACATTATCTGCAAACAAGTCATCATCATCATTGCCTATCTCATTGTCACTGTCCACAAGTACACCTGGGTCATAGTCCTCATCATCTGTATCACTTGCATCATCCTGTGCTTCCATATCATGACTGCTTTTGGTCCTCCCACTTGATGTGCTTCCTCCAACATCCTCATTTGCAACAGCTTGTGCATCTTTCCCTGCTTCCACTTCAGGGTATACAACCTGGAGAGGAGTAGGTTCTGCCTCTGGTTCTGCCTCTGCTTCCCCTGTTTCTGCAGTCATGCTGCTGCCCACTCTCTTTGCAAGACTAAATACTGGAGGCAAAGTGGCTCTAGGATAGTTCACAACATCATCCTCACTTAGGTTTGCTTGTAAGCTCTCATCATGATCAAGATATATACTAAAGGAGTGGTGCCCAATATCAATAAACATCAACATTCTATCTGTCTGCTCATCATTACTAAGCTGCCTGAGACCATTATTACTGAGTGTAAGGATGGGGACACAATAGTATACCTTCAACCTCCCTGCCATTTCATAACCAATCTCCTCAACAAGGTGTTCAATCATAATTGGTGACCAAGTGACCTTCTCCTGATTATCATACCAAATGGCACGACCATTAACATAAGCACGATTACTTCCATGGCCAACAAAAAATCCATCATGGTTGATTTGCACAGAGAAGTTGGTGCTTCGAGGGCCTGATACACAAGACAGAAACATCATGCATCATAATTGACTATAGCATCATTTCATTCGAGTATCTAAAACCCTAACCCCCAAAGACCATCAAATCCAATACCGAAACCCTAGTACAATCCATCAAAACTACCAGCTGAATACCATCTATAATGGCAATGCGGGCCAAAAAGGAGTGTCTTTGAACATCAAAACGCAAAAAAGTCGGATTTACGCAAGATGAAACTTACTGTACACGGGGGGAGGCGCCCCTTCTGCGCGACGAACAGGGGCCATCGCCACCACCTACCGCCGGTGGAATTGACGCGGCGGCGGCGCCTCTCCAGCCACGGAAGAAATCAGCACGCGGCGGCGCCTGTAGGCCGATGATCGCCGGGGCGGCGGCGCCTATGCAGCGCCTTCCCTGTCTCCAATCGA